TCATAGGTGCTCTCCAACAGCACTTGTCGCAAATGTCTCGTAAGAGTATATGGAGATCGTTGGCTTTCTCTTTGCTTGCAACGTGAGTCCAAGCTCAGTTAACAACAGCTTAACACATTCGTCAATAACACCGTGGCCTTAAAAGGGTAAAGAATATGTATAAATTAGATGCGACGTTTCAGGCAATGGTCCTTCTTCATAGCACATTGTCTCGTTGCCTTCCGAACCTCCAAGTTCGGAAGGCAACACCTCGCGGTGGCTAGGAGATGTTAACTGCCTCGCCTGGTATACAGGAGGTCGTGGGTTCGATCCCGACCCTGGCGCCTGCTACTGTATATTTGGAGTCTGCGTGTCTCTTTCTCTCGCCTCGCGGCCACGTGGATTTATCTCCAGGTCGTCCGGTATTTCCCCCCACCCCTCCCCCTCCACATTCACAATCGACGTCACGCGTTTAGAGGATTTGACAGCGATTATTTTCCCAGGCGATGACAATCCACTTCGGTTGAGCTGTCATTTGTGATGGGCAGCTTCGCTTCTGAAACAAACAAAAAAAGAAACCAGCTGGTAAAATTTTACTAACAATAAAAAATTGTCGTTGAGTTTTATAGTTTCGGGGGTTCCCATCACGAGGAGGCCGCAATCGGAAGCGTGGCTCCGAGAGGGAGCCATCAGCTCTCCAGAGCGCCGCGTTGCATCAACATCGCCGCTGCCCCCGTCGCTCGCTAACTGATTGCGTTCCACACTTTTAATTCCACGCCAATTTCCTCTCCGTCGCTTTTTTCCTCTCTCTTTCTCGGAGGTGGAGGCGGAGATTAGCGGTAATCTATGGCGGCGGCGGCGGCTGCTGCTGCTGCTACTGCTGCCGTGGGGAGCGGGCGTGAGCGGGTGGCTGTGTCGGTGTGGGGGAGGGGGTGGTCAATGGGGTATGATGCGGGGTGGGGGGAGGGAGACTTTTGGTGATGGGGGTGAGGTAGGTGGTGGTGGGAGGTAGTTGGAGGGAGGGTAGGTGGAGGTGGTGGCGGTGGGCCGGGGGGGTAAGGGCGAATAGGTGGAGGTGGTGGAGAGGGGTAGGTGGTGGGGGTAGGTGGAGGTGATGGGGGAGGGGGTAGGTGGACGAAGGGTAGGTGGAGGGGGTGGGGGGGGGTAGGTGGTGGGGAGGGGTAGGTGGTGGGGAGGAGGTAGGTGGAGGTGGTAGGGATGGGTAGCTGGATGGGGTGGGGAGGGGCTAGGTGGAGGTGGAAGGGAGTGGTAATGGACAAGTTGAGATACGAGTTGAGTGAAATGTCACGATGATACTCTGCTTCAAACGCACTCGACGATTCGACTATTTATCGCAATTCAACACATTCGTCAAGAACACTGTAACATTGAAATAAATATATAAGCTGCGACGTTTCCGGCAATGGTCCTTCTTCATATAAAGAAGGGCTGTCTGTTGAGTGTTGTTGTTATTTCTGTTCGTGCGCCACTGCCAACGCGGCCGCAGCAGTGGCAAGCGTCGCAAAATCACTTTGATCAATTATCCCGCTTCGATTGCAATCATCGAAATCAAACAGACGCGCGAGCGATGTATGCGCATCGATCCCATCGCAACGGGCGCACTTGCACACTCGCCACGGTTATCAACTCGTAGTCACGGCGCTCCAGCAGGGCTGGAGAGAGAACACGTCGCGCAAAATAAAAGTATCGTGGCGTCTTTGCTTAGAGAGCAAAAACAAATACACAACAACAACAAAAAACACCCTTTTAATTTCCAATATTTCGGTCCTCAAAAGCTCCAGCGGGGAAAACAAAAAGAAACCTACAGCCCGAAGTTCCAGATTGCTTTCAGGATCTCACGCTGCACGATGACGTACCAATGACCCAACGCTCTCCTCCTTATCGTCGGTGAACCGAGTAATTCGCCGCTGGTGGAGCGTGACGCTAAAGCCGATGGCAAAGGGAGTCAAAAAGCCTCCGTTGGTTCTTGGGGGGGGGGGGGGGGTCAGAATCGTCTCAACCCTTCTGGTGGAGAAACCCTCCAAACACACACACACACATTTGATCATCATCATCTTCACAATCACAAGCAATGATCTATCCACTGCTGGATGAAGCTCACCCTCTAAGCCGTCCATCTGAATGATGCTCCTGCAAGCGGCGGAGTGAAGGCCGAAGGGCGGTGATGGTTCGTCAGCCATCAAATGAGTACCTCGTGCGATGCGTAAACATCGCCACTGGGAAGACAAAGGCGGCCGGGCGTGGTACTGGCTACCCATCCACCTCGCGTACCGTGTCGGTCTTCATAGGTGCTCGATAACAGCACTTGTCTCAACAGCCTGTTAAATGCTATACGGGGGATCTTTGTCTTTGTTAGTGTTGACCGAGACCAAAGCGCGAGAGGGCTTAAACACACAGACGCGCGAATCTTGTCGCGTGTGTCACGCATGAATTGACCTTGGTGATCATGATGATGGTGGAGGCTTGGGGCGGCCTTCATCCAGCAGTGGATTGACCCTGGCTGATGATGATGATGGTGGTGGTGGCTTGGGGCGGCCTTCATCCAGCAGTGGATTGACCCTGGCTGATGATGATGATGGTGGTGGTGGCTTGGGCCGACCTTCATCCAGCAGCGGATTGACCCATGGCTGATGACATTTTGAAGCATGTCATCTCTGCCTGTTGTCTGATTATATTGAAATGATTATACGGTGTTGAGCAATAGCCCCGCGGCTCGATTTCGATTACAGGCCACTGTTAACATCAGGCGCGACCGCCTTTGTCTCTCCGCACCAGGTACTCATTCAAGGCTGAGTCGACCTTGGTGAGGCCCGGGACCGATTCAGATAATCGCCACTGGGTGTTGCTGGCGTGAGCCGGAATCCAACTCGAGTCCCCGGGTTCGTAGCGCAGCGTAGCGCTGATCGCTACGCTACCGCTCCCCACTATATAGACCAAAAAAAGACAAAGATCCCCCGTATAGCCTTAACAGACTGTTGGGGCAAGTGCTGTTAGCGAGCGCCTATGAAGACCGGAACGGCACACGAGGGGGTGGCTGGCCAGCACCACGCCCGACCGCCTTTGTCTCTCTAGTGGCGATGTTGACACACCGCACCAGGTATTAATTTGAGGCTGAGTCGACCTATTCGAGGCCCAGATCCGGTTCAGGTAATCGTCACTGGGTGTCGGCCGTGAGCGGGAATCCAACTCGGGGCGCCGGGTTGGTAGCGCTAACCGCCACACTACCGCTCCCCACTATATAGGGCACACACATCGGCACGCACACACACACACACCTATACAGTGTACCTACCTACCCTACCCGCTAACACACACACACACACGTGTGCGCGTGTGTGTGTATATATATAAAGGCTGTCGGGCCTATTACCCCGCGAGTGTGATGGACGATTTCGCGCTCGCGATATACACCCGTGGTGGGTGATCGTTTTTATTAATAGTCCATTGGGGAGGTTGCTTCGTAACCCTCGCTAGCGTGGGAATGTGGGGGGGCTGGTGGGGGTGGGTGGAAGGGGTTGGGTAGTGGGGGGGGGGCAGGGAGATGGAGGGGGTAAGTGGAAAATGGGAGCGGTATAAAATAAAATCGTGTTTCATATGGGCAGAGGGAGCAGTGGCGCAGCGGTGAGCGCACTGCACCACGGAAACCCACCGGCGGTGAGCTGAGTTCGATCCCTGGTACACACACACACAAAGGGAATACCAGGAGCCGTAGCGGATCAGCACGTCAACGTGTTTACAACGCACGTGTTGTTTATTGGTTGAGGAGCGGTGGCGCAGCGGTGAGCGCACCGGGCTGTGGATTTCGCTGTCCGAGTTCATTTCCCGGAGACGGCTAACGTCAGCTAGCGAGTCATTTAATCTTAGCCGGTCGCGGTCAACCCTTTCACCAACCAACTACTGACCAGCGCGGTGAAGTATGGTCTAACAGTCCCCATGACCGCAATGACCGGTGTACAAAGATAAAGATCCCTTCGTATAGCCTTAACATGCTGGCGGGGCAAGTGCTGTTAGCGAGTAGCACCTATGAACGTCGGCACGGCACACGAGGGGGTGGGTGGCCAGCAACCACGCCCGACCGCCTTTGTCTCCCCCCAGCAACCACGCCCGACCGCCTTTGTCTCCCCCCCACTCCCAGTGGCGCTGTTTTACACTTCGCACCAGGTAACCGCTTGAGGCTGAGTCGACCTAGGGGAGGCTCCGGTCCGGTTCAAGTGGTGTACATACACACAAGCAGCTACGCATTGAGGTGGAGAATCATGATGATGATGATCGGGCGACAGGAGAGGAGGACAAAAAGCCGTCTAGCAGATCGACACCACGCCGTGCCCAATGCGGGAGATCAGACAGCAGACACGCATGACACGGACAGACCTATTGACGGACACTCCACCTTTGTCAAATATTTAATATTCGTCGTCGTCTGATCGCGGGGTTGGGACTCAAGAGACACCACCGCCTTCGCGTTGGAGGCAGAGGATACAACGAGACAAAGACAGAGACCCCCTTCCCACCCGTATAGCCTTTAACAGACTGCTGGGGCAAGTGCTGTTAGCGAGCAGTACCTCCGAAGGCCGACACAGCCACCCCCACGCCCTCGTGTGCCGTGCCGGCCTTCGCAGGTGCTGCTCGTCATCAGCACTTGCCCCGACAGCCTGTGCTTTTGTCTTTGTGCGGTCTAGGGCCTCCCCCTAGGTCAATTCGGCCTCAAAATGAGTAAACATGGTCACCAGGGGAGACAAAGGCGGCCGGGCGTGGTACTGACCACCCGCCTCCAAAAAGTCTGTGAAGGCTGTGTACGGGGATTTTATTATTTGTGTGTGTGTCAGCATGGGTGTGTGTGTGTGTGCGATCAGCAATCTTTAAGGCTATAGGTGGGGGATGTGGGGGTATTTGTCTCAATGCGTGAGAGTGTGCGCGTATCGTTAAAAACAACGGGCAATCGTTCTCGTTGTGTTCACTGTGTCAACCCGTCTCTCTCTCCCCCCCCTCTCTCTCTCTAGGTGGAAGATGCCGTAAACTTGAATCTTGTGGATCAATCGGTCATCAAGAAAGGTGAGTGTGCTGCTGTGTTTTGTGTGCGTGTGTGTGTTTTGTGTGCTTTGTGTGTGTGTGTGTTTTGTGTATGTGTGTGTTTTGTGTGTGTGTTTTGTGTGTGTGTTTTGTGTGCGTGCATGTGTGTGTTTTGTGTGTGTGTTTTGTGTGTGTGTTGTGTGTGTTTTGTGTGTGTGTGTTTGTGTGTGTGTTTTGTGTGTGTGTGTGTTTTGTGTGTGTTTTGTGTGTGTTTGTGTGTGTGTGTGTTTTGTGTGCGTGTGTGTGTGTGTGCTCGCTAGGTCGGCTGGGCCTCAAATGAGGGCCCGGTGCGATGTGTAGTAAACATCGCTACTGGGGGAGAACAAAGGCGGTCGGACGTGGTGCTGGCCACCCACCCGTGCCGGCCTTCGTAGGTGCTCGCCCAACAGCACTTGCCCCAACAGTCTGTCAAGGCTCTCTGGGGGATCTTTGTCGTTGTGTGTGTCGAGCGGTGGCGCAGTGGTTAGCGCACTGCGCTACGGACCCGGGCGACAGCAAGTTCCAATTCCGCTCACGGATAATATCAGTGACGGATATCTAAGCACCGTTGCTGGGCCTCTCCTAGGTTGGCTCAGCCTTAAACGAGTACCCGGAGCGGTGTGTTAACATAAGCATTGCGGAAGGGCGGCCAGCACCACCGGACGTGGCATTTGCCGCTCACTCCCTCGTGTGCCCTGTCGATTGATTTAATAGCTGCTCGATAGCAGCACTTGCCGAAACCGTTTGTTAAGGCTATCCGGGGGATCTTTGTCTTTGTGGACTTCTATAGCTGCTCGCGAACAGCACTTGCCCCTGCAGCCTGCGTAGGCTGTACGAGGACGGCGAGAGGGGGGGGGGGGGGGGGGGGGGCGCGTGGAGTCTTTGTGTGCGTCACTTACGCCGAAACCTCATGGATCGCTGTCCCCGAACCGTCATAGCTTGCGGGGTGGAGTGCGCAAACCGGAGCGCCGCCGATCCTCGTGTGAGGATATTTAGTTTTTCCCTCTAGCGCCCACCCAAAAGAGCACGCGATTGTCGGGGGGGGGGGGGGGGGGGGGGGGAGTGTGAGGGGGTTCCACGCCCAAGCGCAGGCTCATCAAAGCGACCCGGTTGAAATGTCTCTCCCCCGTTTCACTCGTTCGCTCTCACTGTCACTTGCTTCGATGAACGTTACGGCTGCTTGCAAGCGCCCCCTTCGCCAGTCGACCGGTGAGTCTCGCGATTCACGTGGTCATCGTTCCGACACCCTTCCTCCTCCTCCTCCTTCTCCTCCATGCTGGCATGGGGCTGCTGTTGTTGGCACCCATCGTAGAATGTCAACACAGATTCGGAGGAACGCTGCTGCTGGTGCTGCTGTTGCTGCTGCTGCCGCTGTTCTCTAACAACCGAGTGGGACAACGCGGACGTCTGGAATAATAAAGGGGGCCATCACAGTGGCGAGATGTTAACTTACATCGCCTGGGGTACGGGAGGTCCTGGGTTCGATCCGCGACCCTGACGCCTGCTGCTGTATATTTGGAGTCTGCGTGTCTCTCTCTCTCTCTCACCGTGTTGAAAAACGCGCGTTTTAGAGAATTTGGCTGCCACGAATGTCCACGTGATGAGCCACTTTCGTTGAGCCATCATTCGAGACAGCCAGGTCGCTTTTGAAAAAGAGCGACATCGCGATTGCAGAGTCCGCCTCGACTGGAGCAACCGATTGCGCAACCGCTCGCAACTCGTTTGGCAGAGACGTCCACAAAGACACCTTTCAATTGCACGCAGCAGAGTTGCACAGCAACTGATCTTTCCGGGGCTAGAATCGACTTAAGCCATTCAGTTGCATGCAACCAAGTTGCAATACAACCGATCGCTCGGGTAATAAAATCGGCTTAAGCCATTACGTTTCAGGCAACCAACTCGTGCAACGCAATCGATCGCTCGGGTAGTGGCATCGACTTCGTCGCACGCACTCCAAGTTGCTGGGATGAGGACGCCCGCTTTAAATGGGCCACGCGTCGACCGCCCGTGCCTCGTGTCCCTTTAAGAGCAGCGCGTGGCGGTGCCTTCACAGCCAATCGGCAGGCCGTGACCCGCGGAGACGCGAGATGAATGAGTGGGAGGGGTGGGGAGGGAGGGGAGTGGAGTGGGAGGGGTGGGGAGGGAGGGGAGAGGGAGAGGTGGGGAGGGAGGGGTGTGGGAGGGGTGGGGAGGGAGTGGAGAGAGGGGGGGCTGGAGGAATGGAGGATGAGGCGAGAGGGAGGGAGAGAGAGAGCGGGAGAGAGGGGTCTGACTAACCACCGCATTTCCTTCCTTCCTGCTTACAATTGCCCGTCGTTCCTTCTAAGTGTCCCCCACCCACTTACTCCCCCCACCTCCACCCACCCAACCCCCAACAAACCCCCTCCTCCTACTCCCCATCTGCCTGCCCATGCAGTTCCGTTCGGTTTTAAAATCCGGCGAGGTGTGTGGAGATGCGTGGAGGTATGTGGAGGTGCGTGGAGGTGCGTGGGGGTGTGTGGGGGTGTGTGGAGGTGTGTGTGTGGAGGTGCTTGGAGGGGTGTGCAGGTGCGTAGAGGTGCGTGGAGGGCGTGGAGGTGTGTGGAGGTGTGTGTGTGTGGAGGCGCGTGGAGGTGCGTGGAGGGCGTGGGGGTGTGTGGAGGGGTTTGGAGGTGCGTGGCGGTGTGTGCGTGGAGGTGTGTGGAGGTGTGTGTGTGGAGGGCGTGGAGGTGTGTGGAGGTGTGTGGAGGTGCGTGGAGGTGCGTGGAGGTGTGTGGAGGTGTGTGGAGGTGCGTGGACGCCGTCTCCAGGGTATGCGCCTCGACCATTGACCGCTGTCCAGGTAAACGTCAGAATCAGAATATTTATTTATAGTGGAGGAATCCGATGAGCTATTAAGCTCTTTTTTGCAGATGTCCAGTAGGGGACGGGTCAGAACGTTGCAACAACAAACAATGCAACAAAACATGACAGCAGTGCAAAGTTTTGGGAAAGTAAGCACATCACTTAACGTACAGATACAGGAGTGGTGGCGCAGTGGTTAGCACCGCGAAAGCCAGCATGATTCGCTGGCCACGACTGTGACTTCAGTGGGGAAGTCACTTCAGTGACGTCAGTGGGGAAGTCACTTCAGTGACGTCAGTGGGGAAGTCACTTCAGTGACGTCAGTGGGGAAGTCACTTCAGTGACGTCAGTGGGGAAGTCACTTCAGTGACGTCAGTGGGGAAGTCACTTCAGTGACTTCAGTGGGGAAGTCACTTCAGTGACGTCAGTGTGGAAGTCACTTGAGTGACTACAGTGGGGAAGTCACTTGAGTGACGTCAGTGGGGAAGTCACTTGAGTGACGTCAGTGGGGAAGTCACTTCAGTGACGTCAGTGGGGAAGTCACTTCAGTGACGTCAGTGGGGAAGTCACTTGAGTGACGTCAGTGGGGAAGTCACTTGAGTGACTTCAGTGGGGAAGTCACTTCAGTGACGTGAGTGGGGAAGTCACTTCAGTGACGTCAGTGGGGAAGCCACTTCAGTGACGTCAGTGGAGAAGTCATTTGAGTGACGTCAGTGGGGAAGTCACTTCAGTGACGTCAGTGGGGAAGCCACTTCAGTGACGTCAGTGGGGAAGTCACTGCAGTGACGTTAGTGGGTTTAACACGTAGGCTTTCGCGACCAATATTATTCATAATAAAGGTTTTTGGGTTAGATCGCGTTTATTTATAAATGTGTCGTAACCCTCCACCACCCGACACGGCAAATCAGCAAAAAAAGTGTCACGTTGACAAAAGACAAATAATTCACTACTTCAGCCCACCGGTGTGTTGAAGAGTTAATCCACATTTACAGTTTGAGTACGACGTTTCGCTGGTAAAAACATCCAGCATCATCGGGCAATTCGCCAGAATGGTAAAGCCCTCGCTTGCTCCCGGTTTTATATATATGATGAGTTAAGTGATGACGTCACCCTGCTGCTCTATATAAAACCGGGAGCAAGCGAGGGCTTTACCATTCTGGCGAATTGCCCGATGATGCTGGAAGTATTTACCAGCGAAACGTCGTACTCAAACTGTAAATGTGGATTAACTCTTCAACACACCGGTGGGCTGAAGTAGTGAATTATTTGTCTTTTGTCAACGTGACACTTTTTTTTTTGCTGATTGGCCGTGTCGGGTGGTGGAGGGTTACGACACATTTATAAATAAACGCGATCTAACCCAAAAACCTTTATTATGGACGTTAGTGGGGACGTCACTTCAGTGACGTCAGTGGGGACGTCACTTCAGTGACTTCAGTGGGGAAGTCACTTCAGTGACTTCAGTGGGGAAGTCACTTGAGTGACTTCAGTGGTGAAGCCACTTGAGTGACGTCAGTGGGGAAGTCACTTCAATGCCTTCAGTGGGGAAGTCACTTCAGTGACGTCAGTGGGGAAGTCACTTCAGTGACTTCAGTCGGGAAGTCACTTCAGTGACGTCAGTGGGGAAGTCACTTCAGTGACTTCAGTTGGGAAGTCACTTGAGTGACTTCAGTGGTGAAGCCACTTGAGTGACGTCAGTGGGGAAGTCACTTCAGTGACTTCAGTGGGGAAGTCACTTCAGTGACGTCAGTGGGGAAGTCACTTCAGTGACCTCAGTGGGGAAGTCACTTCAGTGACGTCAGTGGGGAAGTCACTTCAGTGACTTCAGTGTAGACGTTACTTCAGTGACTTCAGTGGGGAAGTTACTTCAGTCACTTCAGTGGGGAAGTCACTTCAGTCACTTCAGTGGGGAAGTCACTTCAGTCACTTCAGTGGGGAAGTCACTTCAGTGACGTCAGTGGGGAAGTCACTTCAGTGACGTCAGTGGGGAAGTCACTTCAGTGACGTCAGTGGGGAAGTCACTTCAGTGACTTCAGTGGGGAAGTCACTTCAGTCACTTCAGTGGGGAAGCCACTTCAGTGACGTCAGTGGGGAAGTCACTTCAGTGACGTCAGTGGGGAAGTTACTTCAGTCACTTCAGTGGGGAAGCCACTTCAGTGACGTCAGTGGGGAAGTCACTT